TGCACATCTATGTGACCTTTACATTAATTTAGATAACCTCCGGGATTACAATCTCCACAACTCTTCTTTAGTTTGTCCTCTCTCTCATGTGCAGAGTGTTCCCGAAAGTTCTTTGGCAAAGCGAAAGGAATTGTTCTTTTCTTGAGAGTCTCTTTGCTGAGTCTAAATGTCAAATCACCCCACATTCCCATCTCAAAAGTTTACTCAAAAGTGCTCCAATGAATACTTTCACAGCTGCTTCCCTTACAGCTTGTGATTTTGTTGGCAACAAACCCCAAATGAAAATATCTAAATATATAGTAATATAGTTCTGATGCCCACGCTCTCTCTCTCTCTCTCTCTCTCTCTCTCGCTGGCTCTGAGTCTCCCTGCAGCAGCACAACACACAGCCAGCCAGCAGTACCTCCAAGCTTCTGGCTTGTGAGGAGGTGAGTGGTGATGAACAAAAGACTAAACTACCAGTGCCTTCAGTAAACCGCTAATTAAACAAAAGACAAAAGGCAAATAGGCCTATACATTTATGACATATGAGCTGAGCTCATGTAATAATAGGTGAAGTTCAGCTAAGGCCATATCTCATGGCCATAACGAGCTAATGTACTGTACTAAATGGACACTACAGGTGAACACAGTAACATTTGTGTCCAATAACGTCATCACAATCGCCACATTTATATTCAAATTATGAGTTAACTAATTAAAATGCGCTAATTTGCACACATTTGACAAGTTACTGCAGGTGAATAGGTTAAACAAAATAACTAAAGCATATCACCACAGAACTTCCCCAGTTAATGACTTACATCAAGAGTATTTTCCTCTGAAATGTTCTATGTAAATATGCAGATTAGCTTGTTTTGGTTAATTTAGAATAATCTACAGATGCGAACAGACAGAGGGTAGCAGGCTTAAAACAAACACAATCTAAACGGTGTTTTCTTGAAATTTCATTTCCAGAGTAAAAGTCAACATGGAAGTAAAATAGACCAAAGTCTCAAAATTGACCACTATGAAAAAGTGTCCTGCCTTAAACAGTAAATTCGTAGTTTGATGGCAGGCTCCTCATCTTAACTATCCATCTGTAGTTTGTGTAGACCGTGCTCTTTGTGTGAACTGATTATTTTGTATGTATGTATAAGAAAAAATGTAGTAAGTAAGTATTAAATTATTATGTGAGTGTGAGCAAATTAAATATATTGGAAGGAAGTCAGAGTTTTGTTAATATATTTAATGTTTCTTTCATTTTTTTTATGCTGTCTGACTTTTCCTTATTCATACTGTCGATATCAAAGCACATATCTGAACGCTTTTAGTAGCTCACGTCTTCAGAAATATCAAAATCCTGGACTACTATGTTTTTTACCCAAACATGATCTTGAACATGACTGCTTTTATGATCAATCTGTCAATCGATGTATGGACAGAGAGTTATCTCCAGACATAGAGGAAATACCTTCTTTATAACACTATGACACAAGGCAGCTGTCAAGTTGGCAACAGTTGCCCTGAAACACATCCCGTGGGCTACATTACTGCAGTAATCACTGTTTAAACTAGTAAAACTGATCAATGAACAGTAATCTTTCATATTGTAGTCGCATGATAACTTTCTATCATATATAGTGATCATGTTGGAGATAATGTGACTATTTGAGAGTGATTATGACTGTGGTGCAGCTGAAACAAATAAATGTAGTTTAACCTTTTGAAAACAGACCCCTTTTTCCAGAATGAATCAGGAATAACTCCTCAACCATTTGCTATAAAAAGCTATATTTTGATGCAATAAACCATCAAAACCATCCTGAGTTAGCTTTTAATGCAACTGAATATCTTCTAATCCACCTAGAATGCAATTGTAAATGTAAATCTGACGAAAATAAACTAAAATAACAGTTATCATACAACATTTTCAAATATACCAGGCGATGTCCATATTTTGGCAATATTTATTGTTAAAATGCTGACTTTTATTGATAGATATCTTTAAAACACTTTTTCAGTCTATACAACCTATTTCCAAATGACAGTGGGTCAGTAATGGTGTGGGGTGGCATTTCTTTGGGGGGCCGCACAGCCCTCCATGTGCTCACCAGAGGTAGCCTGACTGCCATTAGGTACCGAGATGAGATCCTCAGACCCCTTGTGAGACCATATGCTGGCGGTTGGCCTGGGTTCCTCCTAATGTAAGACAATGCTAGACCTCATGTGGCTGGAGTGTGTCAGCAGTTCCTGCAAGAGGAAGGCATTGATGCTATGGACTGGCCCGCCCGTTCCCCAGACCTGAATCCAATTGAGCACATCTGGCACATCATGTCTCGCTCCATCCACCAACGCCACGTTGCACCAAGTTGACTGTCCAGGAGATGGCCAGGTCTGGGAGGAGATCCCTCAGGAGACCATCCGCCACCTCATCAGGAGCATGCCCAGGCGTTGTAGGGAGGTCATACAGGCACGAGGCCTCACACACTACTGAGCCTCATTTTGACTTGTTTTAAGGACATTACATCAAAGTTGGATCGGCCTGTAGTGTGGTTTCCCACTTTGATTTTGAGTGTGACTCCAAATCCAGACCTCGAGGGGTTGATAAATTCGATTTCCATTGATCATTTTTGTGTGATTTTGTTGTCAGCACATTCAACTATGTAAAGAAAGGAGTATTTAATGAGATTATTTCATTCATTCAGATCTAGGATGTGTTTATTTTAGTGTTCCATTTATTTTTTTGAGCAGTGTACTTAGCATTGTTTACTTCATAACACAATCTGATGATTCAGATGCACATTTCAGGACATTTATATAGTGTGAGGAAAAATAGTAATTCAGTATGAAACCAGTTTAAACGGTCATGCTGTTATATGGTTAATGTTTATCAGACAGACATCATTAACCTGCCACCTATAGTCTGAAGTTTAAATAATTTAAATCTCCTCTCTCTCATTTTTAGGTGCTGTCTCATCACCTGCTACTGAACAGAACCAGCAGCAGTGTGGTGTTTCAGTGTGAGTCTGCAGGCTGGTATCCAGAGCCTGAGGTGTTTTGGCTGGACGGTGAGGGAAACCTCCTCTCTGCTGGACCTACAGAGACAGTCAGAGGTCCTGATGACCTCTATACTGTCAGCAGCAGAGTGACTGTGGAGAAGAGACACAGCAACAGCTTCACCTGTAGAGTCCAACAGAAGGACGTCAACCAGACCAGAGAAACTCACATCCAGGTTACAGGTTAGAAATTAAATTAGAAACCACTCTGGTTAATGTTTTCAGAGTCCTGTCGAGATAAAATGTGTCTTGGCTGAAGGATTTATTGGTGCCTTGCTGTGTACTGTATTCACAGTATGAGGACGTTATAACTTGCCTTTTTTAAATTTCAAGATACTTTCACTATTTCTTAATTTCTTCTAGTGTAAAGGATAAAAGTTCTGTAACCAAGTTTCACTCTGCAGGTACAGGCAGGCCTAAGGGGCCCACTGAGTGTCATGTAAAAACTGTGTGGGTTTATAGATAACATTCAAAAGTGGTTTCCCCTTAAATGAACTTGATGTAATAATTACCTGTTATGTTGTTCACTAGATGTGAGAAATACTGGTTGATATACATTTAAAAGGTAGAAGACAGAAGGCCGACATGTCACAGCAAGAAACAGAAAATGGTGATGGTGGATAAGACACATGCCTTTGGTGTGAGAAACCTGGGTTCAATTCCCTACTGTGACACATCTACTGATGTGAATAAATAATGTAAGAAACAGCTCCAACATGACAAGAACTTCAGGCAGAATGAGAAAAAGGAAGTAGTATGATCAGTTGATGCCACCACATTCACACTAACATCTTCATATTGAGCATGTTAGCATGCTGACAGTTGACAGTTGATAGCTCAAAGCACCTCTGTGCCTTAGTGCAGTGAACACAAACTGTTTCACTTACTCTGGTTGGGACTACAAACAAAGCCAAGGACAACTTCCACTCGCCATCACACTCCTGGACAGTTCAGTTAGGATATGTCATCATCATCATCATCGTGAATGAGTGAAGGTGGTAGCAGGCTGATGAGGGCAGGGGGCAGGCGGGGGAAGAGCGATGAGAATGAAAGCTGGAGATTGTGCTGAAGTGGCGTGAGAGGAGAGCAATTTTGAAGCACAGGAGGAAAACCAGTTAGTCAAAAGCACAATCACAAAAATATTAGAGAACTATTTTGGTAAAGAGCCACACCACCATTAAGTAATAATTTGAGCAGAGAGTCGATGTGCTGATTGAAGACGAGCCAGCCAGGCACCAGGAGAGGTAAGCCATGGCCACAACACACACACTGTAGCTGTTTCTCAATCAGCGTTCTTGCTACTAACTACTAACTATTTATTTTAGTTTTTGCTTAATGATGCTGTTTTGACCAACAATAGTGTATTAATTATTGACAAATATATATTGACATTTACCTCTCCTTCACTCTGAAGGGTGAGAGCCTGCAGGACTTAAAAATCAGGCAAACATAAAATAAAAAGTGTGCAACATGTTTCAGTGTCGTTAAGGTAACGTGATATTGTGGCAAGGGTATAGCATTTTGAGCCCTTGCAGCCTCTTGCACTCAATCACTTTCCAAGTGATGTCAGTAAAGTCTGTGAGGGTTCAGGGCTTTGGGCTTAGGGGGGACATTGGGTTTGGGCCCTAGTGTTTTTGTGGACTTGTGAAACGTCATCAGTTGCAGCCCAAGTAGGCTACTACTAGGCATCTAGCCAAGTACAGTCATATACCCGGATGTGTTCTCGCTCTGCCAGTTTTACTGCCTGCATTGGGTGGTGACTTGTGTGGACTTCGGATTCGCATTTTGCGCTAACAAGCGGAAATGGCGAAGGAGAAGACCCACGACGAATTTATAATACGTCTTTTATTGTGTCATGGAATACAGTTTTAAGAGTTTTTATATGGGAATATAGTTATTTAAACTCCAAATGTGTGGTCTATTTCTCAACTAATTGCTGATTTAAAAAATTTGCTACAATGTTTTCGGAGATGTGCCTGCCCGCTAACGGGCAAGTCTGCTGCTGTTTGAATTGCTGAATGACAGACTGCGTGGTCCAAATAAATAATTATAATGTGTAGCAATCTTCACATGTTATCAGACGCAAAGCGCCCCTTAACCAAATCCTGTTTGGTCCTCATTAACAGCATGCTGGAATGCACTACAGTTGGCAGAGTCATCCACAGACTCAGCGGTGACATAGATTGACGTATGTGTTTGTTTCTCAGCAGAGGAGTGTCATACTGATACTTAATGTCACGTCAGTCAGCCACATCACATTGAAGGTGCAGTTGTCAGACTGCAGGTAAGAGCTGCTTTTTAAAGTTAAACTTGTATGTTAAGTGGTGGATATCCCATAATTTCATAGTCTTTGACCTGTTCAGATTATTTTATGGACGTTTTATTAAACTTTTCCAAGTGTAGAGTTGTGTGCAATGAAACTTATGTTTGTAGAGAGAGTCAGTGTTAAATCACATGATATAAAATCACAAAATATATTTGTGAATCCTTCTGTGTGCATTCATTAATATTGAGACCCAAGAAAAACAAAAACTATGTAAGATTTTATTCATAAGTGTACAGAGATTAATTGATTTGCAAGTCACAACACATGCATTTAAGATTGCCAGACCTGTTGTCTCAAAACCGGAGCTAGAGATGACATGTCATGCATGAAGTTCATACCGGTTAGACTACTCTGTCTCCTTTTCGTATCTCTCCTATTCTTGGACCAGAATGATGCTGCAAGACTGTTGACAAGGTCAAAAAGAAGTGCCCTTAAAGGCACTGAAAATATTGTATGCTTATAGTACATTCATACTCCTAACATGCTTACTACATGTATATTAAAGATATATTCTCCTGGCCTTTAACATACTTCTCAAAAGTATACTTTGAAGAAATTGGTAATAAATATATACTTAATTAAACTTTTAATAAATATGCTTAAATAAAAGTATATTTTTCACAACATTTTAGTCTATTTTTAAAAAATATATTTCACTCTTAGTAAATACTATTTAGGTGTACTTTGTGGAAGTACATTGTTAAACAATTACACTTTTAGAGGGTTAAAAATATATTTATGCCAAACATGCTTCATTGTGTAGGCTACTACTATTAAAGTGATAGTGTGGGTTTCATGAAGTGTTGCTGTATGAGGTATTTCGTCTATAGTGATGTGTAGCAGAAATTTCTGGACCCTGTACATAGGTATTCTCTATAGCTGTGGATGCAGGGAGGGTCTCCCTGCATCCACGGCCATTTACATATCTCTGTGGGCCCTCCTCACAGTCCCCTTTCCCCCCCTAGTCCTACTTCCCTGTCTTTAGTTAGTGTATTACCTGCAGTATGGCGGTAAGCTCTTCCCCAGTGTGGTGAAGCAGCAGTAGTCAGTCAACCAGAACCTGTATAAACAAAAACAGGATTGGTTGTTGTTCAGTTGATACAACACATTTCATGTGACAGCAGGCTTCCAGTTCTCTGTCAATAGTCAAAACTGGTTTACTTTAAACATGATGGTGACAAAGAGGTGAAATTAGAGGTGAGATCCACATTTAAATCAGGTAAGACACAGAAGACTGACATGTCAAAGCAAGAAACAGAGGAAACAGCTCCAACATGACAAGAACTTCAGGCAGAGTGAGAACAGGAAGTAGTACGACAATTGCAGTCGATGCCACCAGATTTACACAAACATTGTCATTGTGAGCATGTTAGCATGCTGACAGCTGACAAATGTTAGTATTTGTGTCAAAGCACCTCAGTGCCTTAGTGCACTGAACTCACTTCCTCTGGTTGGGGCTGCAAACAAAGCCAAGAACAACTTCCAAACACCATCACATCATGGACAGTTCAGTCAGAATATATATAATCATCACATTCATCATCATCCAGTGTAACAGATGCACATACAGTATCTCACAAAAGTGAGTACACCCCTCATGTTTTTGTAAATATTTGATTATATCTTTTCATGTGACAACACTGAAGAAATGACACTTTGCTACAATGTAAAGTAGTGAGTGTTCAGCTTGTATCATAGTGTAGATTTGCTGTCCCCTCAAAAAAAAAACACACAGCCACTGATGTCACTAAATTTATGAATTTTTTAAGTAACGTGAATAGAGGTGTCACAGTAATCAAAAAACAAAGTAATATTATCAGCATACAACATATGATTATTATCGCCAGTTTTCATGGGGGAGGCTCTAGATGGCCTAACGGCTTGCGCCAGAGGTTCCAGGGACAGAATAAAGTGTTGAAAGTGGACATCCCCGTCTTGCTACACGCTGCAGTGGGAATGGGTGAGAGATTACCAGTTAGAACACTTGCAATAGTGGTATAATGTCTTGAATAAAATTATGTCTAAATCAAAAATGTTGCAATACTACCCACCTATAGTTCCACTCTAGTCTATCAAATGCTTTTTGATGTGCAGTATTCTCACTTGAGGTGTTCAAGTGAGAATACTGCACATTGATTCAGGTGAGTGTTTGCAGCATTTATAATGTGTAGCAATCTTCACATGTTATCAGACGCAAAGCGCCCCTTAACCAAATCCTGTTTGGTCCTCATTAACAGCATGCTGGAATGCACTACTGTTGGCAGAGTCATCCACAGACTCAGCGGTGACATAGATTGACGTATGTGTTTGTTTCTCAGCAGAGGAGTGTCATACTGATACTTAATGTCACGTCAGTCAGCCACATCACATTGAAGGTGCAGTTGTCAGACTGCAGGTAAGAGCTGCTTTTTAAAGTTAAACTTGTATGTTAAGTGGTGGATATCCCATAATTTCATAGTCTTTGACCTGTTCAGATTATTTTATGGACGTTTTATTAAACTTTTCCAAGTGTAGAGTTGTGTGCAATGAAACTTATGTTTGTAGAGAGAGTCAGTGTTAAATCACATGATATAAAATCACAAAATATATTTGTGAATCCTTCTGTGTGCATTCATTAATATTGAGACCCAAGAAAAAATAAAATATGTTAGATTTTATTCATAAGTGTACAGAGATTAATTGATTTGCAAGTCACAACACATGCATTTAAGATTGCCAGACCTGTTGTCTCAAAACCGGAGCTAGAGATGACATGTCATGCATGAAGTTCATACCGGTTAGACTACTCTGTCTCCTTTTCGTATCTCTCCTATTCTTGGACCAGAATGATGCTGCAAGACTGTTGACAAGGTCAAAAAGAAGTGCCCTTAAAGGCACTGAAAATATTGTATGCTTATAGTACATTCATACTCCTAACATGCTTACTACATGTATATTAAAGATATATTCTCCTGGCCTTTAACATACTTCTCAAAAGTATACTTTGAAGAAATTGGTAATAAATATATACTTAATTAAACTTTTAATAAATATGCTTAAATAAAAGTATATTTTTCACAACATTTTAGTCTATTTTTAAAAAATATATTTCACTCTTAGTAAATACTATTTAGGTGTACTTTGTGGAAGTACATTGTTAAACAATTACACTTTTAGAGGGTTAAAAATATATTTATGCCAAACATGCTTCATTGTGTAGGCTACTACTATTAAAGTGATAGTGTGGGTTTCATGAAGTGTTGCTGTATGAGGTATTTCGTCTATAGTGATGATGTAGCAGAAATTTCTGGACCCTGTACATAGGTATTCTCTATAGCTGTGGATGCAGGGAGGGTCTCCCTGCATCCACGGCCATTTACATATCTCTGTGGGCCCTCCTCACAGTCCCCTTTCCCCCCCTAGTCCTACTTCCCTGTCTTTAGTTAGTGTATTACCTGCAGTATGGCGGTAAGCTCTTCCCCAGTGTGGTGAAGCAGCAGTAGTCAGTCAACCAGAACCTGTATAAACAAAAACAGGATTGGTTGTTGTTCAGTTGATACAACACATTTCATGTGACAGCAGGCTTCCAGTTCTCTGTCAATAGTCAAAACTGGTTTACTTTAAACATGATGGTGACAAAGAGGTGAAATTAGAGGTGAGATCCACATTTAAATCAGGTAAGACACAGAAGACTGACATGTCAAAGCAAGAAACAGAGGAAACAGCTCCAACATGACAAGAACTTCAGGCAGAGTGAGAACAGGAAGTAGTACGACAATTGCAGTCGATGCCACCAGATTTACACAAACATTGTCATTGTGAGCATGTTAGCATGCTGACAGCTGACAAATGTTAGTATTTGTGTCAAAGCACCTCAGTGCCTTAGTGCACTGAACTCACTTCCTCTGGTTGGGGCTGCAAACAAAGCCAAGAACAACTTCCAAACACCATCACATCATGGACAGTTCAGTCAGAATATATATAATCATCACATTCATCATCATCCAGTGTAACAGATGCACATACAGTATCTCACAAAAGTGAGTACACCCCTCATGTTTTTGTAAATATTTGATTATATCTTTTCATGTGACAACACTGAAGAAATGACACTTTGCTACAATGTAAAGTAGTGAGTGTTCAGCTTGTATCATAGTGTAGATTTGCTGTCCCCTCAAAAAAAAAACACACAGCCACTGATGTCACTAAATTTATGAATTTTTTAAGTAACGTGAATAGAGGTGTCACAGTAATCAAAAAACAAAGTAATATTATCAGCATACAACATATGATTATTATCGCCAGTTTTCATGGGGGGCTCTAGATGGCCTAACGGCTTGCGCCAGAGGTTCCAGGGACAGAATAAAGTGTTGAAAGTGGACATCCCCGTCTTGCTACACGCTGCAGTGGGAATGGGTGAGAGATTACCAGTTAGAACACTTGCAATAGTGGTATAATGTCTTGAATAAAATTATGTCTAATCAAAAATGTTGCAATACTACCCACCTATAGTTCCACTCTAGTCTATCAAATGCTTTTTGATGTGCAGTATTCTCACTTGAGGTGTTCAAGTGAGAATACTGCACATTGATTCAGGTGAGTGTTTGCAGCATTTATAATGTGTAGCAATCTTCACATGTTATCAGACGCAAAGCGCCCCTTAACCAAATCCTGTTTGGTCCTCATTAACAGCATGCTGGAATGCACTACTGTTGGCAGAGTCATCCACAGACTCAGCGGTGACATAGATTGACGTATGTGTTTGTTTCTCAGCAGAGGAGTGTCATACTGATACTTAATGTCACGTCAGTCAGCCACATCACATTGAAGGTGCAGTTGTCAGACTGCAGGTAAGAGCTGCTTTTTAAAGTTAAACTTGTATGTTAAGTGGTGGATATCCCATAATTTCATAGTCTTTGACCTGTTCAGATTATTTTATGGACGTTTTATTAAACTTTTCCAAGTGTAGAGTTGTGTGCAATGAAACTTATGTTTGTAGAGAGAGTCAGTGTTAAATCACATGATATAAAATCACAAAATATATTTGTGAATCCTTCTGTGTGCATTCATTAATATTGAGACCCAAGAAAAAATAAAATATATGTTAGATTTTATTCATAAGTGTACAGAGATTAATTGATTTGCAAGTCACAACACATGCATTTAAGATTGCCAGACCTGTTGTCTCAAAACCGGAGCTAGAGATGACAAGTCATGCATGAAGTTCATACCGGTTAGACTACTCTGTCTCCTTCTTCGACCAGAATGATGCTGCAAGACTGTTGACAAGGTCCAGCAGGACAAGTCACATCACACACATCCAGCCATCGTTGGCTCTCGATCAGGTTCTGGACTCAGTTTAAAGTGCTCGTTTTTACATTAATAGCCCTGCATGGTCAGGCACCTGGATACATTTCTGACCTGCTTCACCCAGATGCTACATCACCACAAGGCCACTTAGGTGTTCAAAGCAGGGCTGAGGCTACTAGTTGTTCCTCTTGCTGAAAATAAAAGGTTATCGTGTATGTGAAGTGGTCGCTCCAACACTGGAATGCACTTCCCCTATAATCATGTACTGAAGTCTCTGTCGATGCCTTTAACAAACAATTGAAGACTCTTTTATTTATACTAGCCTTCGTCTCTAAATTATGCAAACCTGTGTATTAAGTTTTGTTTCCGATTATTTTATTAACTGACTTTATGATTTTTATGAAGTTGCTTACATTTTTTGCTTAATGATTTATCTGTTTTAAGTTGCTGCTGCATGTTGTATATTATGAAATACACCGATCAGCCATAACTTTATGACCACTGACAGGGGAGGTCATTGTTATGGCACCGGTCAGTGAGTGGGATATATTAGGCAGCAAGTGAACGTTTTGTCCTTTGTTGATGTGTTAGAAGCAGGACAAATGGGCAAGTGTAAGTTGCACCATCTGCTCAACCGAACAGGTGTTCTGACAATTTATGTTGCCAGTCGATAGAATCTATCAGCTCAACAAGCTACTGTGGAGAGGAGACTGCCGTGTCCTGCCCCAGGTCAAAAAGAAGTGCCCTTAAAGGCACTGAAAATATTGTATGCTTATAGTACATTCATACTCCTAACATGCTTACTACAAGTATATTAAAGATATATTCTCCTGAGCTTTAACATACTTCTCAAATACTTTGAAGAAATTGGTAATAAATATACTTAATTAAACTTTTAATAAATATGCTTAAATAAAAGTATATTTTTCACAACATTTTAGTCTACTTTTAAAAAATATATTTATTTAACTCTTAGTAAATACTATTTAGGTGTACTTTGTGGAAGTACATTGTTAAACAATTACACTTTTAGTGGGTTAAAAATATTTATGCCAAACATGCTTCATTGTGTAGGCTACTGCAAAATATTGTAATTATTTATGTAATTGCCACATGTTTCAGCCTGATTTCCAGAAGTATGATTTTTAAAACCTTTTTAAAAAATTTCAAAAGCATGTTGTTTCTTTTTTTTTTTTTTCTTTTCTTTCTTTTAATTATTTTTAATTGCAGGTAAATAGCTTGTTGAGATCAGAGACCTCTTTCATAAGGGTAACCTGGCCTAGAAGGAAGCAGCACATGTTGTTAACTTAACAAACAACAACATATAGATATAAGGATACTTTAAATCATAATGTAGTTATACTTGTTTGTGTTTGTAAACAGTAAACACATGTGTACAGAGGGGCAAAGTGCGCCCTCCCGCCCAGCCCACTAGCACAGTGCATTCAGTTTGACCAATCAGAATCAAGGTTTTCAAATCAATGACCCAATCACACAGCGTGAAAGTTAACGCGTGTACTGTCGTTGAGAGGGAAGCCAGAAATAATTTTGTTTCTCAGGTTTCCTTTGTTTTACTTTACCAACTTGGCGAAAGTGGACACCACAGAAAAGGACACAGAAGAGAAGAATATCCGGTCAGATCCCTGCAGAAGTTTAATGTGAACAGAGTTACAAGCAGGAGAGGACAGACGCACAGACTTTCTTGGTAAGTTTCTTATTGTTAGCAAGACACCACAATTGTGTATGTTAACTAAAGTTGAGCTCACTCTGGGTTTGGAAATACACTCTTGAACAAAATCTTAAGACCGGGGCAAACATTGCAAGTACTCGCATTTCGCGCTGGTGGATCATAATCATAGTTGTAAGTACTGCTTCAAAATGCCAAAAGAAGAAACAGGAGCAAGAGACAAAAATAGAGAGTAGGAATTTATTGAAAACTGCATTTAAACTCAAACAGGCTGTTCATCAGCTGATCCGGTTATGATCCACCAGCGCGAATGCGAGTACGTGCAATGTTTCCCCTGGTCTTAAGATTTTGTTCAAGAGTGTGTTTTCCTTTCTTGGATAGCTCTGGTGTGCAATAGCTAATGCTAGCACGTGGATTAATATATTTATTAGCTAAGGTTAGGTAGCATTTTCGTCTGCCTTAAACAGTGTTGGGAGTAACGCGTTACAAAAGTAACGCAATCGACGTTACGGTAATGTATTGCTTTTTGCTGTAAGGCAGTTTTTAATGTTACTAAAATTTCGGTAATGTACAATCTCAGTAACCTGTTGCTGGAATTTGATGCATGAGATTTTAACTACGCAGGCCTGCAGCATGTGTGTATGAGCCCTCAATTCTGCTTTTGCACTGTTAAAATGATACATTTACATTTAGCTGACGCTTTAATCCAAAGCGACTTGCAATTGCTATGCATGTCAGAGGTCGCACGCCTCTGGAGCAACTAGGGGTTAAGTGTCTTGCTCAGGGACACATTAGTAGATGTCTCACAGTGGGAATCGAACCCGGGTCTCCCACACCAAAAGGCAGGCATCTTATCTGTGCGTTTTTTGTATAAATTCATTCTAAAGTTTAGCTGAAGCTGCTATGAAACACCAGCTAAGCATCTGTGTTAGACTAGTCAAAAGTGGACATCTCTAAAGGTGCACTGTTTTTTTTTTAGAGATTTCACTTCATGGAGGGGGAATTATTCCAGTGACCAATAACTCAGTTAAACAGCAATGTTAAAGTGTACACGGGTCAAATAATGTTTTTATGTACTGCAATGCATAACCACACGATATAAAGCTTGTGATGTTAAGTAAAATACTGCTCAACTTTATGTCCATAGATCCTGTATTCATCTTTTTAAACTTGAACCTACTCTTTGCCAACTTTAACCAACTTAATGCTAAACCCAGAGTTGGAATTTCCTGCCTTAGCTCAAGAAAAGTAATTCTATTCTTATAGCAAATCTTTATTATTATTCTTTATTTAGTTTTTATAATGATACGCAAATGAAGAACTAAACTAGGTGGAAGTACTGGCCTAACTGAATATTTATTATATCTCATTTGCAACTGCATTTCTTTTCTTTTAGAGCTTCCTGGGATCATTGCCTCACTCAGAGGCCACAAAAATCAGGACCAGCTGGTGCTCATAGGTGTGTCTGGCTCCTGCACCCCATCACTGTTCTTGTTTTCGGTACATGTCAATGGGGTCAGACTAAATAAACAAATATTCTTGTGAAAAAATAATTTTATTTAAAATATTGTTATACATTCAGTAATTGGCTACTTTTGTACTGTGTTAATGTGAAATGACATGTAGACAGCACAGTTGTTAGCAGGTCTGAATGTTTGTGTTATTTGTTGTACCTGTTTAACAACATTTTATCATATACAGCTCCTTGGCTGAATGTACAGTAGTGTTTATGTAATGTTTTTGATTATGTTGTAATGGAAGAACTGAGCATTAACTGGGAGGGGTACCTTGTGTAAAACCATTTCACCTGAACCTAAACGGTGAGCATCATCAGAACAGACATGATGTCATATTGTGTTTCAGCAACTTTAAACAAAATAACAAATCTGACAACGGTTGTTAATTAATTAGAGGTAATATTGCTTTGATATAGACAAAATATTTCCTTTTCCCTTCCACAGATGCTATGTGATAAAGCAGTTTCCAAATCCCATAGTGTCACTGCAACAAGTCCTACTCAAAGATACCGACCCTCCAATCCAAGGATACGGATTGTGACATTTTTCAGTTTGGTTCCACCATTTGTACTGCATGCTTGTGACGGAGTACCTTCACTACAGTTGAGTTAGAGAACCCCTCAGAGAACCGAAATGCAATTAACTGTCAAAGTTGCATGTTTGGTACCCTGTAGACCTGTGATTGAATCTGGGTAGACTGACTGCTCTCGCCTTTGGCCGCATATGGTGTCAGGAGTGGGACGGCTTGCCGTGAGGTCATCTGAGCCCAGAGTCTGAACCGTATGAGGGACCCCATGGGTTACATTAATGATGGGATGTGTATAGTGTACTTTTCAGTAATACTGATCATATGTCGTCATTTTACGGATTTTATTTTTATTTGAAGGTATTTTGGTCGAGATGTGATACATGCTGCTGCACCTTTTAATGTACAGGAATTTATTTTTGTAATATACACAAAATTAAAGTTTTTTTTAGTTGTCTGTATGTGTTGTAAAATATTTTTTTTACTGATTATTATTATGCTAAAAGGGCATTTTGCAAGATATTTTTCATGCATTAATAATGAATTATTCTCATACTGAATGGTTTCATAAACAGCTTCCCAAGATATTAATAGTGGCTCTTGGAGTATACTAGTAATATATTACTAATATGCTGAAATGCTAATAAAAATGTTCAGGGAACACATTTAAAATATATTTCAACTGTTCTTCAAGTATAGCACAAAAGGTTATTTTAAGTTAAATTTTATTATATTTAAATTACAGTAAAGGTACATAGAATGGGTCCATTTTAACACAAATAAGTATATTAAAATATTGCAATTATCTTAAAGTTGACTAAGTATTTCTAAAATGACACTTAACATACTTTAAGTTTTTCCAAAATAACACATTTAATATACACTTAGTATAGTACAATTAAAATATGATAAGTGCATCCAAAAAAAGGCTTGCTGCACTTGAGGTGACAACAACTTTGGTTCACCAACCTGCACCTGGTCCTCTCCATCTCAAAGTCCCGGGCTGATTTTCAGTACCAGGATGGATGATGCAGGGCTCTACAGAGTACACTGGTGAACGAGCATCATGTGCACATTCTTCCTTTTACTTTAGCTTGTTGGCTAACAGCTGACTTGAATAACATCAGGTCCAGTGCAGTTGACCTGCCGCCCACTCATGCATTCACGTCAAGGATGGTGCATTCAGTAACTCAGTACCGCAGCGTTACTTGGATTAGTAAATGTAAAAATATTACTGTTTTGGAAATAGTAATCCGTTGTACTACTAGTTACTGGAAAATGAGGAAATGTAAAATGAGAAAAGTAATATTAGCACAGTCCCTGCCCAACACTGCTAACAGTAGCCTAGCTATGAAATTAGTTTTAATTTAATGTTAGAGTATTATACTAAGTTAATTTATACTTCAGATTCTGTCAACAAAATGAAAATTTTTATTAACAAATACTGACAAATTAAACTCAATTAGCAACAAAAAACTACTTCCTTAAAAGAGAAAGCAAGTATGTAAAAAGATTTAACTGAAAACACAAGACTGAATGCTGAAATTAGGTAAACACTTTTAACACCCTCCCTCCTCTGAGGAAGTAAACAAGAGCACACAGCTCCACAATTCCCAGAAAATGTCTCCACAATGCAGGAAATTACTAGTTTAATGCTCAAAATCTTGTGTGGCAGGACCCAGTCCAGATGTCTTTAGCAGGTCCCACAGACCCAGGCCAAACACAGGCAGCCGCAGTCAGTACGTGCACAAGAAACAATAAACTAAAATAGTATAGCAGTGAGTTATAAGTAAAGGAGGAACAAAGGAAAACAATGGTTTTATCACAGGTGGGTTTTGAAACAGGAACCTGTTTTTATCAACCGGAGACACGAGTTTGGAACCCGGTAAGAAACCCCTCCCCAATGATCTCCCTCACGCAGACAATCGAGGATGTGGGCAGAGTTAGCCGTGAGCCAAGGAGAAGGGGCAAGGAGGGATTTACCATAAGCCAGTGATTCGAGTCTGTGAAAATAAGAGAACATTTTCTTCAAGAAATTGCCAAGAGGGCAGGATCCTTGAACGATATCTACCTACCAAAGAGAGGACCTCCATGCGGTGGAACTGTGTGTCCCCGAATCTTTTCAGCTAATGAGTATGTTTCTCTTACAAACGTTGTTTCTTTCAAAAATGGAATATTTTAACATCATTGTTATTCATATTTAAACATTTCTCTGTGATACAATTACAAAAATATTCAGGGCCACTTTGAGAATTTACAGTTTTACCTGTTATTCAGAAATAACTTGGATGCATGCGCTAATATCAAGGACTGCAAAGGGCCTTCATCTTTATCTTATTTTGTATTTGCTCTTCATAATTATAAAATTAGGACTAAAATTCCAAAACACTAAAATCCACTTAAGTCGTTTTGATGTTATCACAGACCTTTTTTTTCTCTGGTAAAATAAGAGCATTCTCCCTTGCTCTTGTCAGTAGTAATTAAATTGCCTCTCCACCTGACATCCTATTTTATGCAGATGTCAGAAAATTCTTACCCCAGACTCCCTGGCAGCGGGGGAGGGGAAGTTCACCTGCACTCGACTTTAGTGCGTCTGCCTGGCTACAGCCACCTCTGGCACACCTTTTATTTAATATAGTAAAAAGTTTAAATGAATATAGGCTACTAACATGAATATATGAATATGCTGACTTAAATATATAATGCAATGCATTACTTAAAATATGCAAAAAATATTTGAGCAGAGAGATGATGAGTTGATAGGTGTGGAGATGAGCCAGGTGCCAGGAGAGGTAAGCCACGGCCACAACAAACACGCACGCGCACACACGCGCGCACACACTCTGTTACCTTTTGAAGTGAAGTGATAGTTCTGGGCTTTTAGTGTGTGTATGTGGTATGTGGATGGTTGTCAGCTCGCCCCCAGTGAACAGTGGAAGTAAAGCACTGCTGTGGGCAGAGTCAGCCACAGACTCAGAGAAGGAAACGGATTTACGTTTGTGTTTCTTCTCAATAGAGGAGTGTACTGTAGGCTACTGGTTTACATGTTGTCAAGGACAACATCACATTGGAGAGTTAGCATTAGTTATTCTGCAGGTAAGAGTTGCTTTTTAAAGTAAAACTTGTATAATGTTGGGTATTGTTATTGTATTTGGGAGGTTTGACGCAAGATAGTTATATCATAATATTAAAGTATGTATAATGTGTGTTATGCCAGATGTATTTGTGACTGATTGCCTGTGGAGTTTCTGATGTAAGGCGTTGATAAGGGAGGATATTTTCTGTGTATAAAAAATGTGATCCAGATTGAATGGTTCTTTTGCTCTACAGACCAGGGGGCCTGTAAGAAGCAGGATTTGAGCTTATCGGGGTAACTTCGGGGTTAACCCTGGGTTTTCAGGTCCACGACGGTGGTCCACTTCTTACCCGGGTAGATCTCCATGGTAACTTATGCTAAACAGCTCCAGATAAGAGATGTTGATCTCTTATAAATAAATAACCTTTTTTTTCGATAGGCTTTTTTTTGCTGCGGTGATGCGGAGAAACTCTTGCCCATAGATATAATCCTAGACTCTGATTAAAAGCCTTAGGTAACCTAATTGTAGGCCTACAGGTTTTACAGTAAGCCTACTAACTTCTTAGAAATGTTTTTAATAGGCCTATTTTTTATTTGCTCCCAGTCCGTTTCACACAGTCGCAGCCATTAAACTTTCGTTTTTCTTGTGTGAGGCTGAATATTATGAGCAGTTTGGTGGGGATATTAAAATTCACTTTAATAACAACGTGGGGGATTTATTTTAGGTTAGTAGCTTTCTTAAAGTCTATCACAGAGACTGAGCATGTAGCGCCCCACCTTTTGCGATGTGGGAACAGGTGAGGTGAGTTTTCAGTAGCCTAAATGTTGAGATTCGGTCTTACTAGCCTATTTGAGCACATTTTATGACATGAGTGGATTTTTCGTTTCATTGCTTTGTGAAGTTAATTTAGAACAATGTTTGGATCACTTTTGAGTGTGTTAAATAAATTAATCTAATTTTTTGAAGTGAGGAGAAGTTCTTTAAAGTGAGGAGGAACGACCACTTATTCGGTGTCCAGCCTTTTAATGTGGAAACGCCGAGCTGAAAGAAAAAGGCTGATGTATTTTCACACAGCTCATAAGAACACATAAAATCAACTCACTATTATAGACTTTGCCTGTTCATAGACTTTCACACTATCGGCGAATTTCTGTCTCCTGCATGTGTCAGCTGCAGATGTGTTACTCAGACTAGGCCTATGTCCTATTTCTGTAGTGTTACAGTTTGCTCTTTGTCTGTAAAATATGACGCTCTGATGCCAGTGGACTTGTTCATGTCTGCGATTGGTCATCTGCCGCTAACACCTCTTTTAAGTGAACGCGCTCACGGCTGAATTGGGAAACCCTGGGTTCAGTTACCGAGTTGATAACCAGCGTCGTGGTACCACTTATCCCGACCGCGATTCTTAAGCCAGATAAGGAAAACATATCCTGGGTAGACTATGCTGAACTGTCTTCGTGGTACAGTCCCCAGGAGATCTCCACTGTGTATCATTTTTAATAAACTGTAGGCTATATTATACTATATTACAAAATTGGACCTCAGTTATTTCTGCTTTTTGATTTCAGTTATTTCTGCTGGGGCAGTGGTAATTTAAGACAGCATAGGCCTATCTCATAATCTTTGATGTTAAAACAATGTTCAGATAATTTTATGGATTTAAAATTCTGTATGTTGTTTATTAGGCTCATTATAGTCACCAATGTCATTAATCCAGGGTTACATTTTGTATTTATTCACATGAAAGTGTTTTTTTGTTTGTTTGTTTATTATACAAACCTTTTAAAAGACACTTTGAAACGTTTTCACAAGTCAAAACTTTTAATTTTAAGTAGCTACAGCTTGGAGAAGATGAAGAAAAAGGTTGCACATGTTTTTATACTTTAGTGGTGTAAGTACTCTCACTTAGTCCTTATCTCAGTATTTTACTGATTTAATTACTAATGTACTTGTATGCACATGTAATGTACTCTCCCGACAAGTCCAAGCATCAGTGACAGTAGCTTTTTGTGAGTTTCATATTGCTGTGCTGCTTCAGCTGATGCTTCAGGCCTAAATCAGATGTAGAAATGTTCACGGTTAAAAGCTTGTTGCTGGTCGCACAGAGTTTACAATAGAGGACAATGTTCTTTGCATCTTAGATTGTGACAAAATAATGGAAGTAGCTATTTATGGCTGTGGAAATAAGGCCTCTCTCCCTTGTTCTCCATTCTTCCCTTAGTTTTGGCTAACAGGTGCCACTGAGCTGCTGCACAGTGGCGCACGTCAATGATGGTCCGTTCAGTAGTACCAGTGGCTCGGTTCTGTTCCTCTGAAGGAGTTGAGGGCTTTGCTCTCCACTTCTTCCATGTAGATGAAGGCACGAAACGTCTTCTATTATCTTC